GGGTCTAGTTTTAGTCTTTGACATGTGGAAAGCCAGTTTTTCCAGGACCATTTATTGGAGAGGCTTTTACTTCCTGTGAAGGCCATTGGCCCCTTTGTCCAAGATAAGGTGGCTGAGTATATTTGGAGTTGTTTCTGCATCTTCTAATTTGTTCCATTGATCCTCGGTTCTGTTTTGTTTATTTGTTTCTTTTTGCCAGTGCCACACTGTTTTTATCACATACTTTTGTAGTATAATTTCAAGTCAGGGATTGTGATGCCCCTGCCTTGCCTTTGTTGTCCAGAATTGTTTTTGCTATACTAGGTTTCTTCTGGTTCTACATTAATTTCAGGATTGTTTTCTCTAATCCTATGAGGTATACTATTGGAATTTTGATCGAGATTGCATTAAATCTATACAACAATTTGGGGAGTATGGACATTTTCACTATATTTGTTCTTCCTATCTAAGAGCAGGGGATATCATTCCATTTTCATTATCCTCTTTGATCTCCTTTTCTTCAGAGTACTGTACAAGAGAGAATAGGTAGAACTCTTGAAGACATAGGTCTAGGCAAAGACTTTGTGAACAAAATTGCATGGAAAATACTGCAAAGAACTAACAACTGAGATCGCTTCACCAACAGAGTGAAGAGACAACCCACAGAATGGAAAAAAAAAACATTTTCGCCAGCTGTTCCTCAGACAAAGGACTATTATCTAGAATATATAAATAACTCAAAAACTCAGATCCCCCCAGATTGAAAGACCCAATCCCAACCCTGAAATCTGAAATAGAAACTTCTCAGTTGAACAAGTACAAATAGCAAATAAATATATGAAAAAAGTGTTCAACATCACTGGTGATCCAAGAGATGCAAATTTTAAAAAGCACTGTGATTCTATCTCACTCCAGAAAGAATGACTATTACCAAGAAATCAGCCAATAACAAATGCTGGTGGGGCTGTGGGGAAAAAGGAACCCTTCTCTACTCTTGGTGGGAGTGTAGCCTGCTGCAACCACTGTGGAAATCAGTGTGGAGATTCTTCAAAACACTAAAACTAGAGGTTCCATTTGACCCAACTATGCCTCTTCTTGACAACTTCCCAATATAATCTCAAGCATCATACCACACTGAGATATGCACACCCATGTTTATAGCAACACAGTTTGTAATAGCTGAGTCTTAGAAACAGCCCAAATGTCCCTACACTGATGAATGGACAAAGAAGATTTTTTAAAAATACAATGAAGTTCTACTCAGCCGTAAAAATGGATAAACTTGAGACATTTCTAGATAAACGGATGCACCTTGAGACCATACTCTTAAACAAAATAAATCAGACACACATGTGTAAATATCACATTGTTTCTCTGGCATAAGAAATAAAAAATGTAAATAAGGAACAAAACGTATAAAAGACATTGTGAAATAGGAAGAAAATGCTTGAATGTGAAGAGGAACTAGGGAGGGGAAGGGGGAAAAGAAGAAAGGGAAAAGAAAAAATTAAGAAAGAAGGAAAAATGAAAACAAAACTTTTGTAAGGAAGGAGAGAAAGAGGGGTTGAAGGGAGGGGAGGGTTAATAGGAAAAAAGCAGAATCACGATATATCATGTACAGGTACAAATTTCCTATGATGAATGTGAATATTATGTATATCTAAAATGTACAAATAAAATTAATTAATTTTAAAAAGACCTTACCTTGATACTATGTCTAAATAATGGCGTTTTGGGTCCCATTCCTTTTTATTTTCTCCATAGTCCATGTCATTCACTGAATTCATCTCACTGTAATATATACATGAATTAATTCACCAAACAGCAGAGTATTTACAACATGCCAGAGACAAGTTGAAGCTGTGTGCACGTAACAGAGAACCAAGTAGACAAGGTCTCCGATGCTATAATGCCAACCATTATAGTGGGCACAGTAGTCGATAAACAAATACCAGTGCTGCAGTTTGTAATGTGGATTGGGGCCAAGCAGGTCCTGACTCAGGAGTGCACTTGCACTGTAAGAACAGCATCAGAGTCTGAACCTGAATGTATGGTGAGACAAGGAGTTGTTGTTGATCAGATCCAGAAGATAATGACTCTGTAGGGAGAACTAGACAACTTTGGTCTTGCTCTCAAAGGGATGAGGAATCACTTTGAAAAGATAGGTCTGATCTGCCTTGATTGTGTGTGTGTGTGGTACTGGGGATTGAACCCAGTAATTTCACATGAAACTCCATCCCCCAGCCCTTTTTTAATTTTAATTTTTGAGACAAGGTCTCACCAATTGGCTAAATTGCCCATGCTTGCACTTGAGATCTTCCTGCCTTAGCCTGCAGGAGTGCTCGAATCACAGGTGCATCCTACCAGGCACAGCATGATCTTCATTTTAAAGGTTCCTTCTGCTGCTCTGCTGAGGACAGATTCAGGAGTACAAGACCATTAGCAGTGGAGCCAGATTATATATTTATACTCACTTTTCTAATAAAATATAAAATTCTTCAGTGTAGGGGCTGGTTTGTTTTGTCCATTTTATATCTTAGTGCCAAACATAGTATTTTCCCCTTGGATTAGATTTTCTAAGAAAATGGAAAGTTCATAGATTTCCGTATTTGTGAAATGGAGAAAAGATACTTATTCCAAAGGGTAATGGTAGAGATTGAGATAATAACTATAATGTTTAAATCTCTCTTCTCAAATGTTCAATCTCTCTTCTTACTTTATGAATTCTTCCATGAAAGATGAATTCACTGATTTCCTCATAACTATGAAGGCACTTGCTCTGTAGGTTATTTGAAATATTCACCATTTTCAAATTTTACTGTCTTCCTGCTTTATAGAAGTCGAAGAGAAAACAATATTTACTATCACCTCAAAGAACAGAGTTTACATTAGGTTCAGGAGTGGTCATGGTAGTAAAATATCAAGTCTAAATTACTGGAAGAGTGATTGCTACAACTAGTACAGCAGGCCTAGTTCAATGATTATCTAAAAAATATTGCAAATGCTCTTTAGGTTAAAATGCACTGGAATATTTCTATACAGTGTTATGAATTTCTAAATATTAGCCATAATTATTTAAGTGTGTTGCCTTATAACTTTAGGATAGTTTAAAAAGCTGAGTCAGTTTTTTTGTATGTAGCATTTACTATTATTAATGAATGCTTAAATTACATAAGATTTATGTATTACATATTAGGATAGACGTGTTGTCAAACATGTCATATATCAGTATAGATTATATATGTGTTATGGGGAATATAACTGCATAGTGTGTGAGTGTACAGAGATATATTATCCACAAACTATATTGATGAATATCTTAGATACTTTCTTCTTGTTGAGACACAATACCCAACAGCTACAAATAGAAGGAGTTAAGCTCTGTTGTGACTCATAGTTTGTAGAGGTTTCAGTTCATATTCAGCTGGCTCCAAGGCAGGGGGCAATGGCAGAGGAGAAAGAGCTCATAGGATAGCAGACAGGAAGCAGTGAGTGACCAAGGGAGGAGAAGTGATATATACCCTTCCAGGGCACACACATAGTGATTCACTCCTCCCATCTGGTTTTACCTCCCAGTATCACGCCCAGCTACAAATCCAGCAGTAGACACATTCAGTGATGAGTATCACACAGCCACGATCCAGTTTCCTGCCCAAAGTCCCACCTAGGCGGGCATAATACTTCGGTGGACATCTAGACAGAAACCATAAAACTTGACCATGTTCTTGCTGTAGATCTCATTCCTGGTTATGTGGTGAAAGTTAGACTCTACCTGAGATAGACATACTTTCAGCATCCATTGATAAATGGGATTTTGTACAGAAACTATGGAAATGATTGCTATTCGTGAAGAATAATATTCTGTAATTCCTTTTTCCAAGGTCATTTTGAGCAAAACAAAAATGCTGCTAAAATGTCGTTTTATAGCCTTTGATCGACAATAGATTTACCATCATTTTACAGATCTCTTTAATCTATAAAAGTAAGTCATAGTACATGACTTCATTTGATCATCATACTTGGACTTTGAGATAAATCAAACAGAGTTTTGCTATCTTAGTCTTATATATAAGGCAACAAAATTGTTAATGATCACCTGTCAAGTCAAATCACTGGACTTCACTTGAAATTTCTGGACACAAAATAGCCCTGTATCTTTACTGTTGTTCCTAGCCAATGCTACTGTGTGACTGAAACTTTGATTTCTGCTTATATTTTGTATGCCTAGAAATGTTGCCTGAGAATGTCATGAGTAGGTTGTTCAGAGCTGTAAGACTGAACTGAATTGAAATACATTAATCCTTTAACCATTACTACAGTCTCTGCATCAAGCAACATTGTTTCTTTATTGTCCAGGCATACTGAATCCGTGTCCCAGGACAATTTAAAAGGCATAACATCAAGACACAAATAAGTTTTGCAAAAGGTAACCGTCATCCTGCCAACTGATTTATGCATTTTTAAAATGAAAACAGAACTTTCAGGAGATATGAAATAATGCTTCTGTGACAATTTTGGACATTGGTTTCATTCCCAACCTGGCCATTTGGTCTCCAAAATAAACCACTATCTTTCTTTGTGCAATAATGTTGAGATCTGTGCCCAGTTCACAAGGGCATTGTGTAGCTTATTAAATATAGGTAATACATTTTGAAATTGTCTTTGAAATGAACGAGGTGGATCCGAAACAAGATTAACCTCTGTTGTGTGGCTGTTCTGAGTCTGATCAAATGCACAAAACATCTTTTTCAAAGTGTATGTGGGAAAATCTACAATATACGCAAATGTTAATAAACTTCCACTAGCTTTTATAATTCCTGTTAGGACATGACACATCTTAGTTGCATCGTGAAATGTGTTATTTGGTTTTGCATATTGTACATAGGAGAGAAAGTTATTTTATCCATTGATAGAAATTCATTTTACTATTTTTACCACAGTAAATGACTGAAACTACGGAGGAGATGGAGGAAGAATGAAATGGAATAAATTGGCTTAACACAGATATTACAGCAACCTAATAAGTCCACAAATAGTAATAATAGTTACAATGTTTATTAAGGTTATGAACATACTCTGAAAGTGAGATAACTTTTTTGTAGCAGAACAAACTTCAAACTTCCAAAATAATCTGGGATAATTTGTTTCTCTTCTTTAAAACGCTTCATTCGTTTGTTTCTGTATTCACTAAAGATTTATAAGATAGCTGCTGTGTGCCAAGCATTCATACCAATGGACATTGATACAGCATGGAATGAAAAGAAGTGAAGACCTCTCCGTCCTAACTGAGCCTGCGTTCATGGCTATGAGCTCGCTTGTTGCTGTTCATTATGGCATGTAGAGTCTGTCTGGTTAAGATAAAAATAAAGTTGACCTGGGAAAAATCAAACAAGGGTTATGGGACAGAGCTGTATTTTTGGACAATGTGGTTGAAGAAGGGCAAACTGAAAAAAAAATTAGAACATAGTACTGAGAAAGGAAAAGGATTGAGCCAGGCAGATTCCTAAAACGAGAACATTTCTGGTAGAAGTGAAGGAAGCACAGTTACACTGAGGCTGAGACTCATTTTAGCAGGAGTCGATTTTGTCACCAGGGTGGACTTTGCGATAGCATAATTATAAGAAAATCAGAAAATAGGGGATGTATTGTATAGGGCTTCTTGGGCATAGTAAGAAGTTTTTGGAAATACGAGGAGGTTAGTTGGTTAAGGGGCAGTGAGGAGATCTTGCCACACTAGAAATCACGAGATGAGAGTTTCACAGGAAATTTTAGTAGTTTTATATTATAATAAAATATGAATTTGTTAATTGCCTGTGATAGCCACAAAACTGTAAGCTCAATGTGAGCTGTTACCATGTTTATTTAGTCTTCATGTTTTTTCTGCAAATGGCCAGTGCCTGACACATCGAGACTAATAAGTATGTATTTTTAAATAGGTGAAGACACTTTCCAATTTAATATCACAGCATTGTTTCATTATGCTATTTTAGAAATGCAGGGGAGAAACCAAGAAATGGACTCCAAGAGTCACGCTCAGGCTTTTGGAGCCTATGTTTGGTGACATTTCTGTCTTGACAGCAGAATCCTATCTTTGAGAGTAAATGCCTACAATGTGGGATTTTCCCTTCCTCCTTGGATATCAGAAATCTGAAACTTACCTGCTGCTCATTTCTGGCTGCAGATATCTCTTTTGGTGCCAGTTTTGGTTCCCCACTCTCAGATGTCACCAGCTACCCTGCTGAATTCTCCTCTTGCCAGCCATGGCCCAGCTTAGGCATCAAATGGCCAGGGTAAACAAACAAGAAATTATCACTTGGAAAAAACATCTGATTAACTCAGCAGCAATTGCTATGAAAACAGAACACAGCAAAGGGCAGATGTCTGCTTCATTGCTTTCATTCCAAGGACTGATTGTTATGGAATGAGGTGGCCTTTCCACCTGGCATTGGACCACAGGGCCAGGTGGTGCCAGGTGGCCTGGACAGTAGGGAAGAAGACAGAACATCTCTGAGCCACCCATACAGGCTCTGATGAGTTTCTTCACACCCCCAGGGTGCCCTAATGTGGAAGAAATAAAAATAGAGAAAAGAACGATCCTAGGGATCTGGTTTGGGGTTCTGCCTTATAATTACCGGGGATCTTCAGGAAGTGATTGGACCTCTCTGATGTATCCTTTCACTGCCAATGAAATGTTAGCGATAAAGCCCAATGTACAGTGCTGTTGTAAAATATAATGAAAGAGTATTCAGGGGCAATTTGGGTTTACTACTTAATAGCACAAAATGGTAGTTGATTTTAATGAAAACTTGTACTTGAGAAATCTGGCTTAGTTGGGTTTGGGGCAAATGTATATTCAATTAATAAACCATTATGTGAATTTCATGGACACTATACAAGAAAATCTTTCTGTGCCCGAGGGCAAAATTTTCTTTCTTAATGATGTGTAATATTTTGGTTTTATATTAGAAACAAGTTCTAGGAAGGATGTGTTTAACAAGGACACTCCCTTATTGGTTATGGATGTATCAAGTTTGTTAAGTGAGATTGATCACAATAATTAACTGTGGTAAGGAAGTGGTTTTTGAGAACTGAATAGGAGAAAATGTGGTGAGTACTATAGGTGAAATAATTAATTTTTTCACAATTTGTGAAGAAGATGGGCATTTAACTCATTTGAGTCACAGAAACTTATCTTGTGTCTGTTTGGACAGAGAATAGTCAGGAACAAAAGCTTTAAAATGTGGAAATTTGATCATATCTGGTGACTAAAAGCTTGGAAGGAAAAAGAAATTATCTGTAGCTAATTTTTTTTAAGGCTTTAACATCCAAAAACTTTTATTGTTTTTTTATAATGATTTTATTTATTAGTTGCACCTGAGTATTAGTTGATACTGACCAGAAGAAAGGCATTTTGTGGAACATATACTGTATGTGGAAGATGCTACCCTAATATTTTATATGCACTTTTCCAGTTAATTCTTATTTAATAAAAACTCCATGAGATAAAGAGCTTGCTTGCACCATATCATGGATGCAGAGAATGTAAAATTAGAAACTTGCTAGAATATAGTAGACAGACCTTCCTGTGTGGGCTTGTGAGACTATAAAGGTAGAACTAGTGAAAATGAGACATGGGAAAGCAGACAAAACTCACCGCTGCTGCTTCCTCTTTCAGTGTAATCCAGGTCGACCGGCAACACACAAAGTAATCCTAGGCAAGAGGTGGAAGCATGTTAGGTCCTTATTGTTCAAAATGGGATTTATGGCTAAGTAGAATCCATACCTCCTGAGAATTTTTAAACACGCAGACACTAAACCAGTCATACTGAATCAGAATCTACATTTTTAACAGTAACCATAAATAATTTGTTTGCATGATAAAGTTTTTTTAAAAAATCTAATCTAAGTCCTTGAAGACTCTGAGACATGCAGCATTCTTTGAGGCATGGGTGAGATTTCCTTTGTGATTCTTCATGCTGAATAAGGCAGTGTGTGCCCCAGACAGCACATATGGTGTGTGATTAAGAAGATCTGGCTCAGGTCATGGCTACCCATTATCATGTAAGTCACTTTGGGAGCCACACCTATTTTTTCTGGGAAAGTTAAAAGTGACTTGAGTCCAGTCACTTCCTATGCCCTGTGGATAAGAAGGTCCAGCCTGCTTTCCTGACTCCTAGGTCATGACATACAGTTGAGAGTCAGATGTGGCCACATTTCAGGGAGATGCAAGCTCTTTGAGCCACATCCCTCCCCATAAGTTATGGAAACCATCCTGCCCTCCCTTCTCACCCTGAACTCAATTACTATGAGGCACCAACAAATTTGCTTTAATGTCCCTGCTCTCTGGCTATCATTCAGGGATGCTCTGATTAGCTGCATCCTCGAGAATGGCAAATGGGATGCATGAGCTATTTCTATTTTTGTGGTGATGCTGCACTGTGATTAGATTCTGGAAGAAGGGCAATTCTGTGGTAAAGTCATAGTAACCTTACTCCAACCCTTTGGAAAATAAACTGAAATTTTTAAATGGTCAGTGTTTTGAGGGCAACTATTCTGGGTTTGGACCACTCCTGCTTTTCAAATCCTGTTTTAAATTCTCTTCTGTAGCTGTTCTGTGACAAATGTATCATTTCCTTGTCATTACTCATCTTCCTATGAGTCCACCTGTCTTACCAGGCTGTATCTAGAGACCAAAGCTAGACTGCAATGATCAGACCACTCATAGGGCTGCTTCTCCCAGACTTCACCATATGTGATGCAGATGCAAGTACTGGAACTCTGTAGGATGGTTATAAAAATTAGGAAGGAGAGGACTGGTGGTAAAAGATAGAAATGAAGATTCACACACACATATGGAGATAGCAGAAAAAAGAGGACAGTTTAAGAGGGGATGAAGAATAAGAAGTGGGGCTATTAGATAAAGAGAATTATAGGATGTGATTAATGAAAGATAAAGAAAACAAAATACATAAGACTTAGAAGTAAAAGAGTCTGAGTACAATCAGACAGGAATATACGATGATACAAAGAGGAAAGGAGAGAGGCACAGAGAGACAGAGAGATCAACTGTGAAAGAGAATGAGAATTGAATGGGGCAGTGCCAATGCTTAAAGTGTAGAACAGTAATAATGTACAGTAATTTTGCATCCAAAACTTTGACAGTGAAAGAGGAGAAAGTTGTAAGGACATATGGCAGGGAATTTGGGAGTGAGTAATGTATCTCTTTAAAACTGATCAACCTGGTTTCTACTTTTCATGTATTATTTGTTCTCAATTTGGGTTCTTTGTGGATTTTCTACAAGATAACAGGACTGTAGAACAAAGTAAGTTAATGGTATATGATGAAAAGAAGGATGAAGGGGAAAAGAAGGTGGAAATTGAAGCTGAGATTGTTTCCAAGAAATAAAGCCCACAAGTCAAATCACTTGACAGAAAACCGTTCTGTAGTTTCTACTACCGCCAGTTATTTCCACTAACGCTTCCATTATATCATAGAACATCAGTGTGATTTAAGCTTTAATGTAAAATTTTCACCTTTGATTAAGAAAACAATATGGATGCTCAAAAAGGGACTCTTAAAATAAACTGGGGTTGCCCAATTCTACCATTAATCTATATTCTCTCAACAAATGTGTATATAATACATATGCATACATTATTTCTCTCATTATTTTCTCCATGCCAGGTCTTTTAAGAGACTTATTATCATCTCTGAATGGGTCAAAAAGCGTTAGGAAAGAGTGGTAAGGTGAGATCCATAAAGTCTTTTCTTTCAGCTTGAGTGAAGGAACAAGTCTTCACTTATTTATCACTAGATCCCAGCATAATGCCTGGTATATCACAACACTCATGAGTAATAAAATTGAGGAGATACAGAGTAGATGTATTAATTCATTAAATCGTTTTCCATTATATTCCAATCCCTGCTTTGAGTTCAGGATCAGATAACTTTGTTATACAGTTATTCAACTAATCTCATTTTTAGTTATTCAACTAATATTTCTTTAAATCAAAATCTCACTAAAAAATATCAATATATGATTAGGGTAGAGGTCTGACTACCTGGCATCTTCTTTACTTCCTCAAATTTTTAAGGTAATTCATTGAGCTAAGTCTGAAAAGAGTTGTTGAAAGAACAGAAGAATAGATTTTCAGTTTTCCAACAGAGCTTATGACCTAGGGTCCAAAAGTCATCAATCCTGATGTCAACATTAGAATTAATCAAAATCTGTGGGCAAGCCATCTCTCTATCCATCAGGTTTTCTTTTTCTATGTTTTTCTTTCTTCCTTTCTTTCTTTTCTTCTTTTTCTGTTTCATTATCTGTAAAGCAAGTTCTATAACTTATTTTTTCTATATGGATTAAATGAAAATTTCAACTTACTAATTATTATCTAAAATAATAGGTTAGTGGATGTGTTCAGATTTTCTCCTTGATTGTGAACTTATGAAAGTGATTCTTGAATCTGTGTACATGTTTTTCCTGTATCAAGTTTTGAAGTTGTAAATAGTATATTTTGATTATATAGAAATGAATGTGTCCAAGAGGACCAAGAAATAGAATGAGGTCCAGTGAGGGCATAGGAATTAAATCTATGCTAACCACACCAGTGACTACTAGTGTTATGTGGCTGTTAAGCACTATAATGGAACTCATATGAGTTGGGGAATGAATCTTAAATTCTATTTAATTTTATTTAGATTTAAACTTGAAAACAAACTTATGTTTATTTACATTTAAACTTACTAAAGCAGCAAGAGAGTGCAAACCACCATATTGGAGCAAAAATAAAGAACCGTTCCAGCCTCTTGTTAATTTCTAATGGAAATGGCTGCTCTAAAATATTGCTACTCTTCAAGTAACAGAGTAACACAAAGTAAAAATTCGGTTCATACTCATGTGAAATTATGCTTACAATGGATAATTGGCTGGCATCAACAGGTCTAGTGATAAATCTTAGCTCTGCCAATTTCTAATTGTAGTTTGAAAAGAAAGCCAATTCTATCCTCAATTTTATCAGCCATCAATGGAAATATAATTGAAATGATATGCACACTCTCACACACATACATGAAACAACTCTGAATTATAATATACAATGCTGTTGAATTTTCTAATATTGGTTAAAAAATTGTGATAAACTATACTTGCTTGCAACAGCAGCAATAATCTTTTTTTCCTGTTTGTTTTATTGTGTTTTTTCTCACGATATTGCTGGTCAGATAGGTGGGTCTGCTGATGTGGACACAGCAAGACTGACCAGCTGTGCTCTTCCCATTTCTGGGAAGTTATCGACTGATCTGGAGAAATTTCAGCTCAGACAATTGAGATGCTATGTTTGGGCTGTCTGTGCCTCATCCTCCAGCAAATTAGCCATGGAATAGTTAATGGAGAGGAGGCAGGAGGAAGAGAGGAAAGAGAAAAAATAGAAGTATGTGTGCCTTTTTCCAAGTCCCTGTGCCAAATTCTGTTGATTAAAGTAAGACGCATCACCAAACCTTTTGGACAAGTGATCATGTTCATATGAATGGCTTTTGAGAAAGAGTAAACCTCAAAGTTAAAGGTCAAGGTATAAAAATTAGGGCCTTTAATACATTCAATATAAAAAAATTTCTAATAACAACACTTCATTCTTACTTAAATGAGAACTAACATCTAATTCAAATAGTTGCTTTGGGTACAATTACAATTTTTATGTGATACATATTTATATTTATTTCAGACAAACCAGGTTACATTATGCTGAAGTTTTAAAGCTGATATAAGGTACTGGGTCATTTGATTCTAACTTTTAAAAGGGAACTATGCAAAGACGAGTGAGGGTAATGGGTGCCTTAGAGATATTGTAAACCAACAAAATAAGTACTGTCAAACGAGCGTACAAAACAGGAGAGAAATAAGAGCACTAGCGTCAGCTTTAGTACAAATTTAGAACATCGAAAGGCCAAAATTCATTGGGTGCTGGGGTCAGCCATGTAGTCAGTGTGTGGTCGGAAATGGCGCCTTCGGAGATCCATGCTGCCTCCCATCCTTCTGCCTGTGCCACTCAGTCTTCCTTAGTTTTCATATCATTCTATTGTCCTTTTTGCAGTCACAGAATTTCACCACTGGCACAGGAACTGAACTTGGTCTTAATGGAGGTCTTAGATTCTGCAATGTTTTCTCATTGTCTGTGTTTTGTTTTTGCTTTTTTAAAAAGGCAGGTGTCCTTTATGATCCCTCCCACAAATGACTCAGCTGTTCCTTTGCAGTATCATAACATTTATCTGGTCCAAGGTTTGCATTCCTTCATTCCTTAATGGTTATAATGGTTTTCTTTTCTTTTTTTAATGCGTTCTCTAGTGTAAGCCTTCCCCACGGTGTTCCAATGGGGAACTCCTAAAGCATAGTGTTATTCTTAACCTACAGCAGCAGTCATATCAGTCACACAATGGCATGCTTCTTACTCAATTATAGCATTAGTATGTTTTATAAACTGTTTAAATTGGCCACTCCCTACCTGACTATGCTCAAGTCTTGCACCTCTCTGTCTGCTCTCTAGCTACATAATAATTCTCCCAGATCCTCAGTCATCATCATATTGCTTCTAGCCCTGAGTTCTTCACTCTAGGCCCTCTGCTCACGGCCTCTCCTCTTTCTTTCATCCTTTTTCCTTCCCTTCTTTCCTTTCTTTCACTTTTGCCCAAATTACTCCTATCAGTATTTCAGACCTCAGATTCAGTGTCACTTCCTTGAATGAATATTCCCGGACATTCCAGCCATTAAGCTTCCTTGCCACACAATGACAAAAATAGTTGAATTTTAGATCTAATACCTCTCTCCCAAGAAGATTGTAATCCCATGGGAAAATTGCTGAAACTTCTTATTTGCTATTGTCTCCACACTTTTTAGCCCACAGGAGGCTCTCAAGAAATTCTTGAAGGAAAAAAGAAAAACATGGAAATAAAGCTTTTGTAAATAAGGAGGAGAAGGGTTACAGGAAGGGGAATAGAATGGTAACCAAAGATAGAATGAAGATGTGTTATGTACATGTCCAAATCACCCATGATAAATATGATCATTATTTACTGCAAACATGTACTAATAAAAAATATGTGTTAAATTGATAAAGAAATGATGAAATTGCCACCTATAGTAATTAAACAACTTGTTTCAAATAAAATGTTCACTAATGGTCATGAATCAAGTTATTCAATTCTATATCCACTGTATATGTTTGAGTGAGTGCATTTACCCCAAGCATCACACCATCTCAGAGAACAGCATTTTAGCATTTGAAGGAAGAAAGGGTGAAAATAAAGAAGGAAGGAAAAAATGAAGGAAAAGGGAAGGGAAGAAAGAAAAATGGCAGGCAGATTACCCATTTGGATAGGCACAGAGGAAAATACAGAGACAAAGCATTTCTCCTGTGTTTCTCTTAAGTGATTGATGTTTTAGTGTTTGTCAAGACTAATGAAATGTCAACTTGATAAGAAATAAATAGACTGCGATTAACTGGAATAAATAGTATTAATTATTAGCAATAATTTGGAAGGATTTCTAAATAGAGGGCCCTGTGCTTTCTTAGTTTAAGTATATTCAATCATAATAATAATGAAGAAAAATTCATAAACATTTATTAAGTTATTCTTTAAGTTCAATGTTTGTGAAGTGTTGTTCTAAGCATTTAACATTTATAACACCATAACAACTCAAAGGTCAATAATTGTTTTTTTTTTTTCTGGTGCCGGGGATTGAACTCGGGTCCTTGCAGTTGCAAGGCAGGAGGTTGAACCACTGAGCTAAATCCCCAGCCCAAAGGTCAATAACTTTATGATCTTAAATATATAGGTGCAAGGAAGTTAAGGGACATACAAGTTATAAGTAAGTGGAGATATATTCTCCATAGTCGTCATGTCCCAAAACTGTTAATATTCATTGTTAGTTAGAATGCAGAGAAAGAGCACTCTTATATACTGATGAGGAATTATAATTTTATATGATCTTTTTATAAGGCAATTTGGCAGAGACAATTTGGTAGAGATGGGTATTTTAATCATGTCTCCTTGGCTCTGCAAATATATTTCTGGAATCTGTCACAAACAGGCATATGTCATTGTATACAACAACAAGCAAGTACAATAAAAATAGCGCATTTCACATCATTATATAGTGTTCTCCCTGTATCTTTCTGGTCTACAAGTTTCTCTGTGTGCAACATTCCCTCTTCCTATGTGAATGCCAGGCACTGGAGTCCACTCTAATCTAGTATGTCTTCATCTTAACTAGTTTTATTTGCAAAGACATTATTTCTAAACAAAGTCACACTGAGATTTGAGAGGATATTCCTTTTCCAAAAGGCATGATACAATCCAGTACATTATTTAATAGAATATATAATTATGCAAATAATAATATTCATTGTTAAGGTGAACAACTGTGAAGTTCCTATGTACCAGATACTGTACAATGTCCTTTTACAGATTATCCTAAATATTCTAACTACAGCACAATAAGAAAGTGCATTTATTACTGCTGTTGACTGTTAAAGAAACTGAAGCTTGCAGAATAAATCAACTATGGGTTATAACACAGTTAGTAGTTAGCAGAAATGGGTGAAAACTCCAGGTGCTTAAATATGGAACCCACACTATTAAACATGAATAACTAAGAACATATATTTTTAGATTAAGAAATCAAAGCAATATGTAATATATAATGTACCATGGCACCATTTTGTCAATAAGACATGTATGAGATTATAATTATATGATAGAAATAAATAACATAATATAAAATGATGATTGATATGTAGTAAACAAGTTTTTTTCAAATGCCAACAATGAATGGGTAAGGAAGGGGTGACAGATGATTCACTTAGAAGGTTTATATACTAGTGATTATTCTTTCCTTCTTGAAAAGCACATTTAATGCCTTCAAAATGTCAAAACTCTATACTAATGGGAAGGAAATTCAGATTTTATCAGTTTTAACCACAGATGAAAATCCTTCCAGTGGAGGAGGAAATAGAATGTAGCCTACTGTACACAGCAGGTTTTGTATCCAGTGCAGCCAATGACACTTGATTTTCTTAAATAATCCTTGGAGTTACAGTCAGTTCATTCCCTCATTCTTTCCCTTTCTCATTAATTGAACAAAAATATTTGAGAAAGTACTCTATATTCCTTTAGTGTCTCTTCTATATCTAATATTGCAGGATTATGTTTGTATATGTAGGCATGAGAGGTTATTATATTTACACAAAAAGTCTAATAGTTAAGGAAAAGTTTATGATGCTTATGAAAATATAATTTATCCAATATAATATTAATGAAAATATGGAATTCGAAAATACCTAAATGAAATATGGAACTCTATCTAATACTCTGCTCTTTGCAGTTATGTTTTGTTTATGCTTTCAATGTTTAATCTCTTATTTTTCTCATGAATTTGATTCACTTTCTTATCTCCAGAACCTAGCAAGTGTAGTACTATACATAAACTACTTAAATTAATAATTTTAGGAAAACAAATAAGGATTTTCTGCCACAACAGAAAAGTTGCCTGAGCTTGAAGTTGGTCAGCGTGGTGCACAGCCTTCCTGAGGGTTTACTTCAGTGGTACAAACCCCTGGGAGTCACTCAGCACACAGATCCTTACTGTCTCTAGGAGCAATCAGCAGATTTTAATATTTTGCCTCATTGATGTAGATAATTATTGTTCCAGTCAGATGAGATCATGGAGTCTGTGTGTTTAAATCGACTTTGAGTTTAGTACCAGTATTGCCCATCACTAATGTTGCAAATGTAGAGAAGTTAACGTATCCTTCTCAATCTCAGCCCACTCCTGTAGCCCAATGTTAACACTTGCTTATAGTTTATTCATGAAGGTCATAACTAGGACAAGATGATGACGCTTTGAAAGAAAAGAGGCTGTGGTTTATAGATTTGGAACATAGAGGGCAGTGACAATTATCAGGACCCTGCTGAAATGAATTTATTAGTAATTCTTAATTGAAATTAAGTAAATTGCATTTGATTTATGACGCTGATTCAAATAAGTAATGAGATATGTTTTATGATTATCATATCATGGCAACAAATTTCCTTATAAGAAACAACAACAGTAATAAAAACCAAATGTCCATACTCTCTCTCTCTCTTTTTTTTTTTTGGTACTGGGGATCGAACTCCGGACTTTGTGCTTTCGAGGCAGGAGGTGGAACCACTGAGTTAAATCCCAAGCCCAATACTCTCTCTTTTTGAGATGCTGCCTGTCTGATAATCTCAATTTGTGGCTTCATGAGTCCTTCTCCATGTGTTCAGTGGCCCCACTAGCAGAGCGAGGCTCAGACTGAGCTGTTATCTGTGAGGTGGTGATAATACCGTACTGTTTACATGATGCCTTTAAACCTGGTTTCCTTATTTTAAAAATGGGAATCATAGTACCTACCTCATGAAATGTTGGGAATTAAGAAAATAGCACATTTGAATTGATTATTTTAACTCCATTTTTCTTGTATTCTGAGCATCTTTGTACACCATTGAACCAACTTCTGTAGCTCTGTGTTTTATGATGACACAATACTCCAGCAGCGACTACATAAATGGGTAGAGATACAGACAGTGTGTGACACCTCTGTGTGCTCTGCTAGGTGATTTCTCAGCTGGAGTTTGCTTCAGGGCAGTTCTTGGAGTGATTCTGCTTTCCAGTGATTTTTCTCCAGTTCTGATTCTATTTCCTTTCCTATCCCGTTACAATATACCTTCGAAGATAACAAACTCTGGACCTACAGCCTAAGCTCGTCAAGCTAATCTGTCTGCTGGCTAGGCTTTTGGGCTGTCATCATCTCACTCTGTTGAGCTGATAAGATAGGTAACAAATAGTGTTTGAGGATACCTCGGTGTTCCACTTTGAACAGAAGTAAAAGGAGTTGAAAAATCCAATATACCAGGGGCACCTCTCACCGATGAGTGTTCTAGGATGGTGTGTTTCTGGCAAGTGGGGCCAACATCTTTTCCTGTGCAGACTCTGAGGAGATGATTCCATATATACTAAAAATACTGGTTTCAAGTCCCCCAAAACTGTTGCTCAAGAGAGTGGTTGCCACTTAAGTGGATGAATTTCACTTCCAAAATTCCAGGATAAATTCCAGTTCTAAAATTAGTGCACAAAATCTGGAACCGGTTTATCTGGATGTGATGCTTGACTTTGAAACTTAATGACTCTGTGATCCTGTGAAATTATGTTAGCTTCACTAAGCCATAGTTTCTTCAGTTACAACCTACTTTTTTAACCAGCACACTTTTGCTGTACATGCAGTTTACAATCGCCTTGGGGAGCAGATATATGTACATAATACAATGTGGTTCTTTTTTAAATTCCTCTTTCCTTTCCCTTCCTCCTTCTCTAAGTCCCCTTTTCCCATTTTCCTTCTTGTTGACATTATTAATCTTATCTCATTTTATAATATATAATATGCACATTTATTGACAATATGGTTTCAACAAAAATAGCAACCCCACTTATTCATGAGGCTATTAATAATTAATGTGCATTAATAGAGCCTCCACTAAACAAAACACCATAAACCAATAGCATGTGTTGAGTTTTCCATAACTTGTAAATAAATCAATCCAGACTAATAGAGATATCAGACTCCTTATTATAAAGAAAATGAATCTAGACCTGGGGGTGGTGGTACACACATGTAACCTCTACACTGGGGAGGAGGAGGCAGAAGGATCACTGTAAATTGTAGGCTGGCCTGGACTAAGATCCTGTCTTAATCCCTTCACACACACAAAAAAATAATAAAAATGAAGGCAAAAGAAATTTTGTCATCTAGCACTTACTGGAGAAAGTGAGATATCTAAGCAGTTTGGCATGTTGTTCTAAAGCCTAGATTGTTGGTTCAAGCCTAGTTCCATTGCTAATTTGCAGTTCTATTCCTCACTAACTAATACCTTGGGCAAAGTGCTTACATTCTCTGAGTTGCACTTTCTTTATTTTAAGAGTGTGGATTATGGAATCTACCTCATAGGCTTGTTACCTGACATAGATCCCTCAGAACCTAGCCTTAAGTAATCATTAGTGTGACAATTTGGGTCTTAAATCTACACTGAGATCCCATGAGTTGAAGGTTGGATCTCAAGCCTTTGGCACTGGTGGGAGAGTGGTAGAACCTCTAGGAGGTGGGTCCTACTGGGAAGAAATCAGGTCATTGTGTCCATGCCTTTAAAGGGGATTTGGGGATGCTGGCTTCTCCTCTGTCTCTCTTCCACTTCTCAGCATCTATGGGGTAAGAAATTTTGTTCTTCCATAAGAAGTTTTGTCTCCTGTATTCTGCCTTACACCAGACTCAAAAGCAATGGGGCCAACAAGTAAACTTTTTGTTCTTCTGTGTTGATTATCTCAGGTATTTTGTCAATGATGAAGAGCTGAGTAACATATTTTGCTATAATAATAACATCTAAGAGTTATACTGGTTGAATATCCCTTATTTCAAATGTTTGGAACAAAACATCTTTCAGATTCAGAACTTTTTGGGCTTTTTGAAATATTTTTTATGCATAATGAGATAATTTCAAGTTTGGACTGTAGTCTACCATGAAATTCTTTCATATTTTAAATATGTCTGTGTAAATATGTGTGTGTTTTGGGGTGTGTGTATTTCTGTATGTATGTTTGTAGCTATTCCTGGTGATTGAACACAGGAAGCTCTGAGCTACACTCCTAGTCCTATTTATTTATTTACTTACTTATTTATTTTGACAGGACCTTGTTAATTTGCCTAGGCTAGCTTCTAATTTGTGATTGTACAGGTCAGACTCTTGAGTAGCTGGAAATCAAAATGCTCACCACTCTGCCTGGCTCAAATACATTTTATACATATAGGCTGCATGTAATTTTCTGCAATCTTTTCAATGACCCTGTAATTTGACTATAACCCATCATGTGATATCAAGTGGAGATTTTCAGCCTATGGTATCATATCAGTGCTTAAAAATTTTCAAATTTTGAATTTCTCATTTTGGATATTTGGATTAGAGCATCTCAACCTGTATAACAATAACAGTTTGCAATTACTAATGTGTATTACATGGAGCCCAATATAGGGCTCTGATTTCTAATCTTGTAATTTTTTTCCACTATGATTCTTTTACAAGAATGGGTGATACAAAGTGGACCAAAGAATGCAAATCCTAATCAGTGAAATCCAATGACAGGAACAGCAATGATATTGAAGCTACATTGTTGGAATCCAGGTCAGAGATCCTGGGAATCACAACTAGATGGTGGCAGTGAGAATGTATTGACACAGCAAAGCCTTCATAGCTTAACTGGCTTGCTGGCAGCCATTTAGAAACACTGCCATAAATCTCCCTATGCTTCAGCACCACTGGCCTGACCAGTTCCCTGGAGAGCTCATCTACTCCCCACTTAGTGAATTCCTCTGAGGGCAGAGTGGCAACATGGAATGGCACAGACACTACCTTAAATCACTGGCTTTGTGCTCCAGCCCAGCTGCTTGCCTATTGCAGAGGCATCTTGGAACTCCGCATCACTGTCTCTGAGCAGCCCGGGGGACAATGGATGGCATGGATTCCGTCATGCAGCTGCTCTGATCCACATTTGTTTCTTCTCTGTGGATGCTGGGTCTTCCTGGTGATATTGCTTTCCTTAAGGAAAAAAAGAGCAAACATTTTGACTGCAATTCTAAATACAAAGGGGTGATACCTGATTAATGAATTTCAAAGTGATCAACCCCTGGGCCGGGGATTTAGCTCAGTGGTTTTTTCGCCTGCTGCGCAAGCGCGAGGACCCAAGATTGATCCCCAGTACAAAAAAAGAAAAGTGATCAACCCCTGATACTATTTTCTGAACCAAAAGTACAACCCAACATTTATTACAAGGAGTACAAATAGCCATGCTTGCCGACGTTGCTTACTAACTCTGGTGATCTTGGATAAATGTTTCAACTATGTGTGCTTAGGTCCCCAGCTATCTAATTCTCAAGCTATGTAGATGTAAACTTTGCCATGGTGATTATACATAATAAGCCAACCTAAAACTCAGTGGCTCAAGACAAAATCAGTTATATTCATGATCACACCTGATGAAGGGTGGACTCAGTTGGAGGCACTCAGCTTCTCCTTGCTAATGGTTGCGTTGGTTGTCTCTGTATGTATCACATGTGTCATCTTCTTAGATCAACAGGTTGACTGGGCCTCATTCTTCCTTTGAGATTTCAAAGACAAATGAGATAATTTGAAAACAGGAAGCTTCATCTGGCCAAGGTTTGGTGCACTATTCCAAGTGCTAAGGTTAATTGGATGGCTGAGACTTAAGGACAGAGACAGGGAAGGGGAACTTAGCTAGCATGAAACTATGACATGAGTGGAGATATAAGAAATAGGTGAATAATTGCCCCAGCATAACTCCAATTATTTAGAGTATTGTGTAATATATGTATCTAAAGCACTTGATAAATGACTTGACAAGTAATAAGACACATGTGGATGCTACCTTTTTCTAAAACTTTGTTTCTATTTTTCTGACCAGTCTCTTGATATTTTAGTATTCTATTGCTGTGTAAAAATTACCGCAAAATTTAAGCTTAGAATCATACCATTTGTTTTCCCTTGCTTTCTGTTAGTAAGAAAATATATCCAGGTGGGCTTGACTGGATACTCATCTGCAGATCTGACAAGACTACAAAGTGTTTACTGGCCATGGTTCTTATCTGAGAACCTTGGTGTAGGGTCTATTTCCAACTCATTCATGTTGTTATGATAATCAATTTCCTTGCTGAGGCCTGCTCTCTGACCTCAGAGGCCAGCCATGTTTTTTCTCTCATGTGTTCTTTCCATATTCAAAACAATACCTGCACCTTGTGTCTTTTTTATATATCATATATCTCCCAATCTTCTTCTGTTATCACTGGGGAAAAGCTCTCTATTGTCATGGGATTACATTGAGAGTTTCTGAGATAATCCAAGATTATCTCTCTATTTTAAAGTCAACTTTACATAAATAAATAACTATAATTAAATATAAGTATCATAATAATCATTGGACTAATATGCCATTGTAACCAACCACACGTTTCACAGAAGAGGGTGAGACAGGTCATCTGTGGGTGGCCATTAGAGAAATTCAGCCTATTCTATTGATAATGTAATAAGGAGCTTAATTTTCCTTCTCTACAATAATGTTGGAGAGTATACTATAGCTGTGCGGAAATCTGTTAGGTTCTAAGTAGATATTGTGAATTATATAATAAACAGCTGTTTTCAAAGCATTGTCTGTGCCTTCCCAAGACTGATAACATCCAGCACAATTTTTATATACTTTTAATCTTGTCAGTGAACCTGAATGATACAACCTGATATGTAGTTTGAAATTCACTTGGATCAGTTTAATAATTGAACTTAAAATCAAATCTCAAAAGATTTTTGTATTTCAGAAAAACTGCTTTGAATAAATTTCAAAAAAATGAATCTAACATCCTGAATTGAGAGTC